CTCAATAAAAGCAGCTTTTCAGTTCCAGTTTTAAACATAGTGATATATTGTAAAATTTTCATAATACTGTGTTAAATATAAATTACTATATTATTATTATTATTCCGTTCAAACAATTGTAAAATAGGTAAGTTCACCTTAATATTTATACGACTGGAAATTCGGCAGCATAAACTTCTGAGGAAGCCGCTTCAAGTATTACTTATAGGAAGTTCTCAATACTTAAAATTAATTCTACAAAAATTCATTTCATTTAGCATAATATCAAGTGAAAACAGAAAAACACTAAAACTTACAAAGATAATGAAAGTTTCAGTATGAGGTTGTGAAGAATGTTGAATTTCATTGAAAGCAACAACCAATCTAAGTTAAACCACCATTAGAAGATCGTTTCTCCCTGGTGTAAGATTCATCATCAGATTACATATACAATACTGCACTCAACATTCAAATACAGGACCTTCAGTCTCGCAGGTAAACGCGTAACATCAAGACCTCTAAACCACTGTTGATAAAGTTCATAATGTAATCTCAAAACTATTGATTTCACCACTTTTATGCATTCAATATGTCACTTATCTTATTAATGGATATTTTGTTTTAGAAAACACATAACAGCTGGATTACAACTGTGTATGATAGATATCATTTTAATATGTAGCATATAAATTTGAACACTTGATTATATTAGATAATACGACATTTAGATTGTTGTCAACATAGACAGATTAATAAAGAATAATTTTAAAATTTATTTATAAAGAATTATGGACAGTTAGATAGAAATTAAACAAATATGAAACGGATTGGTGATAAGTCTATTGATTTATAATTTTAGGGTTTCGAGCAGGTCTGTTTCAGATAACTATGAACATCAACTCTGAGATTCAGGTACATCCGGCTGACGAGTCCCAAATAGGACGAAACGCGCGTCCTGGATTCCACTGCTAGCCACTATCCATCATTGCTTACAAAAAGCTTGTGATTTAAGGCAATATCGAGGCATAAACACAGTATGCACATATGCCAATAACAGACTGATCATTTGCAGTCTTAAACCTCAATGAGAAGATACAAGCCAAACAATACCATATGAGCACATCGTTCCTTTGTAAATGTTAACAACAACAAAAAAAGAACAAGGAATTTATCGGACAAACACAATTTTAATACAAAATTAACTTTAGTTATCGAAATACAAGTCAATAACTAACTGTATTGTGTTTTATTTAATGGAAAACGTAAATGTAATTCATAGTATAAAAGTAATTAATATTAGTTATCACTTTGTTTTATGTCATTCCATTTGAATCTACATTTCTCTTGTCCTTATTTATTTCATATCTTTTAAAAATGTATTCTAGCTTAAAACTTCTTCTTCTACATTTCTATTATCCATTATCTTCAATGAAGTTGATTGTAAAACAGTTAGAAGAAATTGATAAAGGGATTTGTGTACTTACAATTCTAATTGATGGTGGCCACTTGTCAGCAAGTCTTATCTGTAATCTTGACGACAATTTGATGCTTCTCTCAGTATTATCATTACGCTTTACTTATTCATATACTTTAATCAAGAGTATTGTGTAACTTTTGATAAGCTTTTTTTTCTAATCTACTTTAAAGAGTGAGATACGTGTTTGTGTTGGTACATCATACTATCGTGTTATTACACTTCTTGGTATTATTATTAGCTGTATTATCAACATTACAGTTAACGGTTTCCTACTACAATCCATACTTAAATACGTTAATGATTGCCATGAATATTGTAATAACAACCTTGAATTATACGAAGAAATAACCTACCTGTAAAACAATCTATCAGTTAAATCTACTAAGATAATCAACACGAATTGTACAATTTTAAAAGAATGTATACGTGTTACTCAGACAAAAAATGATGTATATGCACAAAAAACATATGGTAATGCATGAAGGGAATTGATAAACAACATATTAGTGAAAAACCACATCTTTACATACTAAACAAATCTTGTAAATTTACATCATTCAGTAGTCATACAGATAAACTTATGAAGTAAGTAACAACAAGTCACGTGACCCTATTAGTCATATTAGTATTTATTTTCAAAAAAAAAAAGGGAGAACTGACGACAATTCTATGTGAGAAAATGAAATTTACATGGATTATACTTACTACACAAAATTAAAAAAATATATTTTATTAACGACTTCACGGTACTCTTTTACCATAGTCTGTAAATACGTAATTTTTCAATGTACAAAATACGTTTTCTCAATAGAGAGCTTGTAGTGGCATTGGACAATAACCACACAATCCTCAAAGCTGAACACGAGACTACTCGGAAAATAGATATTCAATATTTCACGCGGAGAAATACCTAACGATGGAAAAGGCGGGAACAAGAAATTGAATTAATTGGAGTTGATCGGATGGCATGGCTCAGTCGTGCAGGCGTGGTTCCTGCGGAATGTTACCTTATATCTTTTATTCACATTAAATATATTGTTATTTCTCTAGCCTAAGCTTATTCTCCATCATGTATTGGTAATTGTTACTATACAGTGAGTTGGCGTAGATGATGATGTGACTTCCACGTAAGATCTTATAGATTAGGCAGTTATATCATGACAAGTCTACAATTTTATGATTAGGTGTATTATTAGCGCAGTACTAATATCATAGTAGACCATAATTCTACAAGCTAACTAGACACAAAATCTACGTATTTATACTTCTGATGATCTTTTTTTCTCATAAAATAATATGAAATACGACTGATTATAAAGCTAAATTATTTCACTTAGTACATCCCAAAATGTGTCGATGGAGTTTACTCAACATTCTGAAATCAACACACAATCTTTGACTAACATAAGTTATATACTAGTCCAGTCAAAGGTGAAATAACTCAGTGTTAGCATATAAGTAAATGATTCGGTTTTGAATTACACGTTTAGGTGATCAAATTAATTAATCATCTATAGTTCATGATTGGCAAACAGAACAAAATCTAAATAGAGTAGTAATCTCAATCAGTGAAATATTTAGTAAATCTATAATATAGTGGTCAAATTTTTATTAACAATGCTATTGGATCATAATTTCGTAAACTGTAAGCTTTCTGAAGTCTCACGCATTTAAAATATCTGTTTTTATGACAATTATATATATACATCATTGTGAAATTCAGATATGTTTAAACTGTTATTAATAAATCTGAAGAAATAAGAAATAATTAATTTCACTGGTTGAAATCATGAATGAATTGAAGCTAGACCACCATGGAAAACCTGGAAACACTGTACGGCCGTTCCATCCTAGTATGGGACTCCTCAGCAGTACGCATCCACGACCTCGCCCCCTGAGATATTCGAACCCAGGACCTACTGGTTTCGCGCGCGAGCACTTAACCACTGGACCACTGAGCCGGCATCCAACGGTGTTAATGTCTAACTTCAACCAATTCACGAAGTTGCGCTACCCTACACCATTGTCTTCAGTGAATTGATATCTCACAACCGACCTGGTTGAACTCCATAGGTAACGGCTTCTCACTAGAACTCCAGGAGTATCTATTGAAGTCAGTCACTAGTGAACAGATGATTATTATCAGAAGGGGTCCCATACTAGGACAAAACGGCCGTCCAGTGCTTCCAGGTTTTCCATGGTGGTCTAGCTTGAATTCACTCATGATTTTAACCAGTGAAATTTCTAAAAATCTCCACAAAACCCCTTCTGAAAATAATTAATACATAAGTTAAATTCATGCACCGAAGAAACTGAACTATCAGTAAATAAAAACAAGCTTTTTTAGAATGTTACAGAAAGAATTCAATGTTATTAATAAACATACAGAGAATGATGACTAGTTTTGTAATTCAATTGATGAATATTAATGTAACAGGGATGTAATAAAATAATGACTATTATTATTTATGATATTTGATGAAATTCACAGTAAGAATATGAAATGATATATTCCATAAGAATAAGAATATAATTCATTATGTGAATTAGTATTATGATGTTAGTTAGTTACAACAGAAAAGTGTTTAGTTTTCTAATTTATTTAACATAACATTTTTTGTTCTTGAAATCATGTACCGACTTAAGTTAGAGAATTAGTGAAAAAATTGAAGTACTGAACAGTTGTTTCAATTCCTATTATAGGAATCCACAAGTAATCGAACTCAAAACATTCGGTTTTGAACTCGAACGCTTAACCTCTTGAATGCTGAGCCAGAATCAAATCGTGTACATTCCTTATTTCAACGGATTCTCAAAATTTTGAAATTACTTTCCATTGTTTGAGGTAAGTACTTTCCTCATACTCAACATACTGAACTTCACACGATAAGATCCCATTGTTCTACTTCCAAATGAATGGCTTATGTTTCTCGCTGTGATAGAAAATCATATACATGTTTAATGTATTACAGGCATAATAAAGAAACGTTATTCCTTAAATATACATCGACGAAGATATGTCATAAGTATTTTCAGTAGTCTGATTGTTTCGTAGATCTTGTACAATATGATATTTCATCTCTATTATACATATAAGAAGGTCAACGAACACATTACGTCGGGAAATAGAAGCAGGTATGAAAAGGATGAATGACAACAACTAGAAAGAGCTGGAAAGGATTGCCAAGACAAGGTTAGATGGAGAGTGCTAGTGGGAGGCCTATGCTTCTCCACGAGGAGTAATATGCGTAAGTAAGTAAGTATGTAATGCATATAAGATTGATTAAAGGATGCTGTATTGTAATGAAATGATTCATAGTTTAAGTGAACTGACAAATAACAAAATTTACATTGATTAATAGTTATTTTTGTCTTTGGATAAAATAATCTTTCATTGTTGTTATACTTTTCAAGTGTTATCAAACCGAGAAAAATATAGTCTTTTAAAAAATAAAAAAAACCTTTTCAAGTAATGAGATTGTTATAGTGTTATAGTTAATCCCGATAGTAGTAGTAGTAGTTAGCTCAAGTTTGTTGCACTTACAGCAGCAAATTTGGTAAAATCAAATAATTGAGATAATTTTTGTTTTCCAAAAACCATGTTGATTGGAATATTTCAATCGTTTATATTATATAGTTATGTATCTATATATGTCCAATTGGAAATATTATGTGTACTACACTGGAAAACTGGAAAATAAACACATGTAATGTTCGCACTAAAGAAAAGCTGATAGAATATGAGTAATATTAATATTGGTAAATTATTTATGTGATTTACAAGAAGAATAAAATCAAATTTTCAATAGTCTTGTATGATAGTCTTTAGCTAGATTGAAAGCTCATTTAATGGACAAACGATTTATATTGTTAAAGGCTCCTAGGTGCTTTTTTTATTCAGTTAAGTATCCAGATACAAACGTTCAAAAGTTGACGATCAAATGAATTAAGCTTATCAAAAAACAAACACATGCTAACTCTTTTTGAATAGAAAGTGTGAAGAGGCCAATTCAAACGTTTGCATTATCTATTTTTCAACTTATTATACTACAATGAACTATTACGTATTGGATTTACTTGAACTGAATATTTATGCAGACAAACTGCATGTAGTAGATTGCTGTTATCATTAAAAGTTATTACTATGCCAAATACCAAAAAACTCTAATGAAAACAATACACTTATTTGTAAATTTTTCTCTTGATATATCCTTCGTAAGAATCCAAGACAAATATATCGGGGTTTATGCATCATCAATATATTTGATGGTTGACCAAAAAATAGGCGTAACAATTGAACTGGTCGAAAACTTTCATAATTGTAGATTGGCGGCGAAGTGATAATTGAGTCAGTCAGTCAGTAGCATCGTAGAACTTCTTACGTACGTACATCAGTTCTAGTTGCCATACCAAATTATCACAGAGATGCAGTTGTCAATTCAAATCCCGTAGTGGTAGAGGTAGTAAAAGTATAAGCAGTAATCGGGTGATAATTGAAATGATCTATGAAAGATATTTCCAAATCATTACAATTTGAATACATACTAAGTTGTTCTAGTGTTAATACAATCAGTGTTAACAATTTATTATTGTAACAAAATTTATGGTACTGAATAAAACTATCGTTGCTAATGTTATGACTACTGTTAACACTACAGTTTATCAATCATGAATACTTGAATCCTACAATATACGTTTAATATGAATGTCATTTTAATGAAAATTTATACGTATAACTATTCATTACAATTGTTAATCGGTTAATTCAAACGATATTTACTGATTTTCATCAGCTAATCGAACGAGATTAAAATTAAAACTGTCAAATACACTGATATTTATTGTAAACAAAATTTCCTTTAAAATAAAGACTACAGAAATGAGAAGAAGAGAATTCAGCGAAGAAAATTTTCTTTTCGACGAAATCATTTACTTAAGTTGTACATTCGTATATATAGTTATATGAAAAATGTATGTCTATAGAACGATAGAAAGGATTGTATCACAGAAATGATAGAAAACAGTCCACTTCAAAAAATCAGATGGTATATCTTCTGAATTTCCTGATGTGCATCAGTTACCTCATACATACATACATACATACATACATACATACATACATACGCCGAGATTATAAATTATGGACGAGCCAATCAGGAGCGTTTGAGTGATTTCAAGGTCACGGCGCGAAATTCAGTACCTGATGCTCACGTACGAACGGTTTACAGCGGATTTTAGAGAAGACGTGATAATTGAGCGGATACAACAAATGTAATTATTGAGAAGTCCCTTTATTTGCGACCATGTTAATCAAATTACTGCTGTATCTCATAGGTCCTTGGAATTTACGACAAGTCATCCCAAAAGGGACATGAACCATGTAAAAGAAGTGTATCCACTTTAATTCTTTGGTTTCGTATAATATAATTTTACTCCATACTGTTTTCTGATTGGCTAATATTTCTCAGGGTCACTTAAGATTCGTTCAAAGGTCGTCGATTAACTATAGTCTCACCAGAAACCCCAGTTGTTAATTATAGACATTCTGGTCAATGAAGAATTGATTGTTTACAGGGATCCCCAAAACCTGATCACCTGACATCGCATTCAAGGAATGTTCCTATCGCAATTAATTTCTTTTGGTATAAAAGTGCTGAATAAGGATGAAAAAACTCCAAACCGTTCAGTAATTCAATAATTTAACCAAAAACTATTAGGACAGAACAACGAAGAAATTTGATTTAAATCTGTGTATTAATTCAATAAACATTGAAATGTACAAATAGAAAAATAATTGTAGTATCATGTCAGGCAAACTTGTCGCTAAGCATTCAGATATGTATTGAACATTGAATATTATGAAAATGAAGCTCATTCAATTCCATACATAATTAAATGCTAGTATTGGCAATTTTATATGAGAAAATGAAATTCTAATAATTAAATTTATGTAAATATAAACATAATTAAATCTATAATTGATTTGTTCACTGCTCTAATTTCCTCTTCAGTTGGAATCTGGTTTGTTTTCTCTCACAGTAAGTTGTTGCTCATGTTGTCTGACCAACAGATGATGAGTATCTTGAGCAGACAATTGTCTATAAATACTTGTACCATTTTGATAACTCTTGTGATAGTTCTCCAAGTTCCAGTTCTATACAGTAGAACTATCTTGACGTTCGTATTAAAGATTCTCACTTTGATGTTGACTGACAGTTGTTTTGAGTTTCATATATTCCTCAATTATAGGAATGCTGTCCCTGCTTCACCAATCCTCACCTTCACGTCTGTATCAGATTATCCTTGTTCATCGATGATGATGACCAGGTACGTAGAAGATTCTACCTCTTCCCGAGTTTCTCTATCACTTGTGATTGGGTCGGCGGTTTCTGTGTTGTATTTGAGGATCTTGGTTTTCCTTTTGTGTATGTTTAGACCTACTGATGGAAAGGATGCCACTAACGTGACTTTCTTCACTTACATTTGATGATGTGTTTAAGATAGAAGAGTCAAATTATCTGTGAAATTCAAATCATCTAACTGAATCCAAGCTGCACATTGTATTCCATGCTCTCCCTCGGAGGTGGAGGTTTTCATAATCGGTTTGACCACTAGAAGAAAGAGGAAAGCGGAGTGTAGACAGTCTTGTCTGACTTCGGTCCTCATCTGGAATACGTCCGTCAGCTGTCATCCATTCACGACTTTGCACTGCAGTCCGTCGTATGAATTCCGGATGGTGTTGACGATCTTCCTAGGTAAACCATAGTGTCGAAGAAATTTCCATAAGGTCTTCCAATCCACACTGTTAAACGCCCCCTCATATTCAATGAAGTTGATGTATAGTGACGAGTTCTACTCAACTCATTGTCCAGCGATCATCGGTATTGTCGCGATTTGGTCTGAGCACGACTGATCCTTATGGAATCCATATTGTTGATCTCGAAGCTGGACGTCTACTGAATTCTTCATCTGGTTCAGCAACACTCTGTTTGAAATTTAACCTGGTACCGATAGTAGTGTGATGCCTTTGTTTAATAATGACCATTTTTTTGAAAAGGTTTGGCGAAGATTGATTTAATTTGTACGCTGCATTCGTTACAGATTGCTCCCAGTTAAGTAATCATTAGAAATTTGGGAGCACTAAACAGACGTTTCATTCTGAAATGGAACTGTTCAGCAGTGTACTGGCACTAGCCCATTAGGGATCGGACCCAGGATCTTCAGACTCGAGGCGAAGCCTTAACCACTGGGTCACTGTCTAGTAATGGCACAACCCCATTTTTAATCAATTTCTGATTCGCTTAGGGAATTATTTCTTGTCATTAGGGACAACTGTTTTACTTCAGATACATATGAACTCCACTAATCAAAACGTATTATATCTCGAAGTCAAAAGTGAGCCGACTATTACATTTCAGATAGAGAGCTTTTATGAAAATTAGTTCAGTCATATGTTGTATTATTCACGGATTAAAACAATAATAAAGTGTTTAGTGAAGTCTAAACATCTAGGAAGTGGATAGGACATACAGTACACAAACCATCAAACTATATCACGAGGCCAGCGCTTACTTAAAATCCTGAAGGGAACCAGAAAAGATGAAGACTAAAGAACACAATGAGTCGGGAATCGGAAGCAAACATGAAAAAGATGTACAGCAACTGGGAATAACTGGAAGAAATTGCCGAGGATAGAGTTCTACGGAGAAACTTGGTAGGTGTCCTATTCTCTATTACGAGGAGTAACAAGCGTAAGTAAGTAATTAAGTAAGTATTTATTCATTGTTCATAATTACTCATAGAATTGGTTGTACAGAGTGATAAAAAGTGTTTGTGAAGAAAAGAGATCTCTTTGCTGAGTTTCATGATTGTAATTAATTTTTAATAGAAAATTAACCAAAACATAAGTGTTATCTAGTACTCGTCTAGTTTAATTAATGATAACAGATATGGAAAACTGGTTTGGTAAGCAATTTTTTAGTGAAATTTTTATTCAACTACAGTTTCCATGTAGTCAAATAACACATACTGAATAATCAGTATTTATAAAAAATTTTAAAAAAATTATCTCCACTCAAGATAAATGTATCTACAGTTAAATGTAGTGAATTTTCACATTTAACTTATCATATAACATTCAGATTGGCTAAAGTGATTCATAATATTTTCAGCAAATATGGCGACCTTTTTGTTCATTTAGTACGTGGGTACTGTACATTAAATGCATATTTCACTAAATATTTCATTGAGAGAATTTGGATTTATATACAGCTATTTGGTATAAACAGATTAGTATAGTGCGATCCAACATATAACAGAATAAACACAAATGTAGTGCAAGTTTGGGCGTAAAGTGATATCTCTACTGATAATTACACTTTTTAGAGGCAACGCTTACCCATTAAATGGACGAGAAAATTACTTAAAGTACTAGGCATAAAAATGTTTCAACATTGAAAACGTTATGAAAAACCTTACCTGTTAGACAGATTGTGAACGTAGAATACAAATTGAAGGTTTAAAATTTACTGTATCATTTTTATTTTACCTTGTTCTACTCTGATATTAGATAGAGTGAATTAAAAATTCTGAAATTACAATTTGGAGGAAAAGAATTTAAGAATTGATTTCCAAATAACACTGAACAGCTAACCCATTCTAGTTTGGTTTTTAAACAGAATCCTTTAATGTTCAAAGTATACTATGTATAGTGGGTAGAACAATGTTCATAACAGAAATATGTGGATTCATTTACTTTTCAAATTGTCAGTCTTTTTTTCAGTCAAGTGAGATTTCTTCAAATAGATGAAATTTATATTCTTCTATTAAGATCTATGTTTTTTTACTTTATTTAGATCAATCATTGGAAAACAATGTATGAAATCAACTATGAAGCTACAAATTCTGTATTATAAAATTCTCATCACTTCTTACAACTGTGTCGATCAAAGAACAACGAATTGCATCTTGTTCAATCACTTCCACTATTCTGGAGATTATCTTAAATTAGTGAGTTGAAAGATGTACGATAAATTATCGACTAACTGGGAAGAATTGTAAATACAGAAGTACAGGACATATATTGATATTAATTTTAAACTCTTTAGCCACTGTTATTTACGATGCTGAAATGAATATCAGAGGTTTATCAAATTCATCACAATGTCAATCAATTAATCAATCAAAATATTGACTTTTTCGTGATGAGGATTATATTTTCCATGAAATGAAGAGTATTTGACTAAGCTAACTACTTATTAAGATAAGCATTATTATTACTAAATAATATTTATTACTAATATTTATTCAGATAGAGTTCATTAGATGGAGTTTAGTCTCCGTGTTACATTAAGTCAAGTATTTGTAGTTGTATGATGGAAAACAAATATATGATTTGGATCAAGATCACATTATACCTGGAATTAACTTAAGTTAGGAAGAGTATGCAGTTCAATGAAATCCAACACGTAATAGGGTTCCACTATATATATATATATATATATATATATATATATATATATATATATATATATATATATATATATATATATATATATATATATATATATATATGACTACTGAGTAATCAATTCACAATATAAAAATTACAACATTATATTAAAGATTCAATGCTGATTACTCCGTAAAAGGTGTCTAATGTACACTTCTCATTACCTAGATACTAAAACAAATCAACTGTTCAGTGCTATCTGGAATTCGGTTGTTTTCTACAAATATAATACATATTAATCACCACTTAAGACTTATAAATCTACATTTGAAATTTCGTAGTAATCGTAATGATAAATGAATTGTATTTTATGCGATTAAATAACAAAGTTGAAATGTTAATTTGTTTACTAAATTACTAAGATGATGGTAGTTCGATATTTGTGTTTTGGTTACACAAATTTGTCTCAGAAATAAACAATCAATATAAATTTAACTCGTTATTATTATTGGGAATAATGTGAAGTGTATGTCTGCCGTAGTCAATATTATATGGTTCGTCATACTGTTATTGGGGTCATATACCAATACATTGATTGCAGTTTTCATACAGTTAACGGTAGAATTTAAATGTGATATTCGTTTTTATTAAGTTATATTATCTTGATCATATTGAAGTATTACTGATCAACTTGGCATTAGTAAATGATGTCTTCAGTAACAGTCTACAATAGTGATAAAATGTTACAGAGACATATATCATCTGTAGGACTTTTAAAAGTAAAAGTAAACTTTCCTCTAATGATAAAACAAAGATTTATGTTATGGTAACTACAAATTTATTTCGCTCCAAAATTATCATGATGTTCAACGAAAACTATCCACTCTTTCATAATTTGTTTTGACTGGATTTTCAAGTATTTAGCAATTAAGGCATTTATAGACCAGAAACCATATATTAACATATATATACATACATTAATTCGTATGTTTCGACATTTAGGAATCTATCCTAATTGATTTATTGAATGTATACAATATAATTACACATTATAGATCATTATTCTTGATAAGTATATCGTGGTACGGAACCAGTAACAGTGT